CTGGTGTTTGCACAGGGGGTGGGTGCAGCGCAGCGTGGCTGGCGATGGGTAGCTCACTACCTTATAAAGTCATTAAAATAAAAAAAAAACAAAACAAACAACTCAGAGGGCCTCGAAACAAGCTCCTGACGCTGCAGAGGAGGAATGCACCAGGCTGGCCAGGGGGTGCCCTGGCAACATCCCATGCCAGTGATGGGGGCTCAGCAGCACCGGGCACGCTGCCAACACGGGGGCCGCTTTTTGGCATCGTCCGGCAGGCGGGAAGGAGGGCAGCCGGCGGGCTGGGCTGCACCGGCAGCCGCACAAGCCCAGGGCTGTTTGGGCAACAAGGAGCCTTCACTCCCGGCTGTTTTTCCACCGTCAGAAAACCGGTGTGGCTGGGGTGGGAAGTGGCTGCAAACACAGAAGGCCTTTCAGGGGGGCGTGTGCATCTGCACAGGGCAATCCTGGCACCCGCTCCGGTAATTAAAGAGCTCCTTTAATGAATTCCAGTCCCCTCCCTGCAAACACACACAGGCCACCAGCCCAGGCCCCCACCTGCCCCCCACCGCAGCCTGAATGAAGCCTTGTTGAGTGGCCAGTCCCTCCCCGGCGCCATGCCCCTTCTCCCCAGGCAGGTTTTGCTCCGCTCCTTCCTCCTCGGCCTCAGCATCCTCCTCCAGGCAGAGCGATGGGAGTCCCTGCAGCCCCTTGGGGACTCATTTGTATCCCCCACGCACTGATGCACCTCCTCATGCACACCCCAAAACACATCCAGCTGTCCCACGGGCAGGGCTGGGGATGCCCCAAGCTGGGGTGAGAGCCTGCAGGCAGGGAAGGCATCCATCCATCAGCTCACATTGCCCCCTGCACACCCAGGAGATGTCTCCCTGCTCCAAAAAACCCTCGCATCCAGTGCCGGTTCACTCTGCAAACCCTTGTGCTGAGCTTTGCGAGCGCTTTCCCCTGCCTGCGCTGGGAGTTGGCTCTTCTGTCCTCCTACGTGCCGGGGAGGAGGTGGGAGAAGTTTGTGTGCGGAGATGTTAAAACATGGAGGAGAGCCCAAACTGGCCCCGCTGAGCCCCAGAGCGTTCCGGGAGCGCCCCAGCCCAGAGCCCCCCAGGCAGATGGGGATCCCTTCCTCTCCGCGGTGCTGCCCAGCACCAGGCTCTGCTCCCCAGGCTGCCAGAGCCGGCTCGCTCGGGGGCTGGGGTGCCAAAAAAACTCCCTGAACACCAAAAACCAGCAATTGGAGAGGCCAAACCCGCCATGTTTTCAACTGGAGGAGCAGAGGGAGAGGGCCAAGGCGTCCCAGACCCGGCGCGTGGCCGGCAGCTGGGGCGGGTGCCAGGATGGGTGCCGGGGCAGTGCCGGCTCGCACAGAGCGCTCGCTTGTTTGCCGACTCCGAGAGGAGCTGAGCACGCCTGGGGCCTCACTCCCAGCCCCTTGATCAGAGCTTTTGGCTCGTCTCATTCTTTTTTCAATGCAAAAAAAAAAAAAAAAATCAAATGACACCGCAGCCTATAATCTGCTGGCTGCTGGCCGGGAGCTCGGAAACTGTGACAGAGGCCCCTCTCGCCTCGGCAACGCCTTTCCATCGGCCTGGCAAGGCAGGGGCAACGATTTCCTGCAGGACATGGTGAGCTGGGAACGTCAATTATTTTTAGCAGGGGCCAGTGGGACAGCCAGGGTGCCCACCCTGACCCACAGCCAGGACATGGAGACCCAGTGCTGCCCACGGGCATCCCCATCCAGGGATGAGGCTCAGCTTGGGTCTCGACATGCCCATAGCGTGATCGTGGCACACTTAGATGACCTGGGAAAGGTGCTTCTGGATCACAGGAGGGCATCCAAATGGGGTGATGCCGGGATACTCAGTCGCAGCCAGCCTGCGGATGTGGTACCTCTCTGTGCATGCCCAAATCGGAGCCACCATCCAAGTGATCAGTCAGGGTTGTGCACCCTGTGCCTCGAAGGCTCCTCAAGGGCAAAATGCATTTGAAAAAAAAAAAAATCAAAATCCAGCAAGCCATGTTTTCTGCATCTTTTGCAATGTGGAGGGTAAGGAAGAGGGGAGAAAGAGGTGAAAAGCTGCAAGTCCCTTGTGAAAGAGAAATGCCACAGGTCAAGCAGCATTTGCATCCCGGCTGGGCTGCAGAGCAGAGGAGGAGAGCAGCCCTGAAATAAAGTAGGAATTTGGGAAGACAAACAGCAGTAATTCACACTGCTCTGCTGCCGGAGAAAAATCCCAGCGCCTCCTGGAGCCGGGCAAGGGTCCCTCCTTCCTCCTCCAGCAAACAGCACTGCTCCCCTGGGCATCCGTGCTTTTGGTAACTTTTTATTAGTAGTATTTTATGAGAGAAAGAGAAGAAAAGCATCTCTGGCAGCTTCGGGAGAACAGAGGCGGGACAAAATGTGCTGGCTGCAGGAGCTGCTGCCCCTTGTCACACTGCAAAACAGGCTGGCCGCGCTGCACCGTGCCCAGCCCCTGGGCTGGCAGAGGAGCTGCTGGTGGGTCCAACCCTGGCAAAACTTTCCCTCCCCATGATAGCAGCCTCTCAGTGCCCATCTGAAGAGCACATTTTTGTGATTAGGGGAAGCCACAAAACCGAAATGTAGCAAAATCGTGGTGGGAGCTGGAGCGCAGAGCGTGCACACATGGGGGAACCTCAATGGGAGCCAGCACATAACGTGCATGCGATGTCTCTAGGGACCACAATATATTGCATGCATGTGTGCACGCCTTGCTGGGGCCTGAGCATGGCCGCCTGTGTCTGTGCAAGGAGGAAGAGGAAAATTCCCTTTTTCAATGTGCTGTGTTGTTTCTGCTCACCAAATGCTGGGACAAGGTGGTGCTGAGAGCCCCAGGCAGCGCCTGGCAGGGCACCCACCACCCTTGGCCACCGAGAAAGGCACGCCAGGGCTGGCTGGTTTTGCAAGGACCACTGGAAGGGAAGAGCAGGTCAGGAGAGGACAGAGTCCTTCACAGCCCTGCAAAGAATAGCAAAGCTCCTCTGAGTCACTGGCTAGGCTGAAGAGGACAAGGAAGCCAAAGTGCCCCATGCCAACAGCAGGCACGAGGGCCAGGAAATGAGCAGGCTTGAGTAAGGCGCACTGGCAGCCCTGCCCTGGGCCGAGCAAAGGGCTTAGTATTAAAGCAAGTGCTAGGTATTTCCATGCTGCCATTTCTTCCCTGCCTTAGAGCGGGTGGGGTGATGGTCCTTGCAACACCCACATTATTCTCCCAGACCTGAGGAGAAAACCAACGCACTTTCTCCGCTGCCAGCAGCAGGAAATTATTTTTTGTGGGGTCTGGGCAAGGAGCTCTCTCCATTCCTGAAGGGCTCAGAAGAGCATCCCGTATGCGGGACACTGAAGAGCGCAGCTCAGAAGAAAATGCAAAAAGCCAAAGCAGAGTGCTCCAACCCTGCCCATGCCAGGCAAACCCTCACTGTCACCTTTAATGACGGGCTCGTTTCAAACCCTCTGTGCCTGTGGCTGCTTGTTTTTGGGTTTTCACTTGCTGCACCACCCCATGAGCAAAGCCTGCCTGCTGGAGCAGGGGGAGCCTGCCTGATTCCTGCCTGTTCCCACCCTGGTCAGCCCCACAGAAATTTGGGCAATAGGAAAAAAAGCAGCTGTAAGAGCACACATGGGTGTTTACACCCAGACCGCGCTGTGCAGGAGGCTGGTTTCATCCCAGCACCCAACGTCCATCCCTGCCTCCTTCCAAAAAGAGAGCAGGGGCTGGGCTAGGACCCTGGGAGACGCCAAAGCCTCATCCTTGTTGTCCCATGGCACCTCAGCAAACCGCATGTGGGACCCCAAACCCAAACGCAGGTCTGATGATGAAAAGTGCAATAGTGAAGTATAGCAGGCAAGCTCCACACATATAAACCTCGAGCACAGCAGGCTTTACAGCTATGACTACATATGGACTGAAAATGTGCATGTTCACCCCCCCTCCCTGACATATCCTCCGTGTATATTTACAACTTACGGGTCTTCTGAGTGTTCATGCCTCACCCTGCAAGTGCAGGGTTAACTTTGCCGTGGGTTGCTCTGGAGCTAACCAGGATGGGTGGCAGCACATTGCGGACACGTGCATTTAATGTGCGTGCAATGCACACACATGCACTGAGCCAGCAAAAAAGTAGAAGCACTGTAAAATTAAGCCTTGCCGCTCCCTGTGCTTTTAATTCTGCCCTCTCCCGCGTATGCCCTGTGACACAGTCTTTCATTTCATGACCGCATGCCATTGCGCTGAGTTCCTGTAAGGCTGATGTATACTGGGCGTTGAACATGTTCCAGCTGCAGCTTCAGGCGCCCTGTTTGAGCCAAGGTTTCCGTATGGTCTCACATCCACATATGGATCGCAGGCACACGCATTTATTCCTCCAGCACTGACAGAGCAGCCACCTTCAGGGTGAACGTCAGCAATGTTTGGATGATATGGAGAGCTGTTAGAAAGCAGTGTAAAATAGGGAGAGGAGCAGAGCATGGTGTTGGCTGACCCAGCTGCATCCCCAGGGCTCCCACGCAGCACCTCTGTTCAGCAGCGATTGGCACCAGCCGGGGCATCCAGCCAAGGCACAACACAGCCACCACTGGAAGGGTTCATATTCCTCCAAAGGGAGACAGCTGTGACAGAAGTGGGAAAGACTCATTAGGGTAACGGTTTGCCTCCTAATGCTCAGGAACTCGGCCTGTTGATAGGTGCTACTGCATCTGGCCTAGCCACATAACGAGAAGGAAGGTTCCTCTAAATGCTGTGTGGGCAAGGAGAAACACAACCTCTGCCTCCACACACCCAGCCCCTAGAAACACCTTCCCCTAGAAAAATCAGAAAACAGACTCCCCTGAGGGTCTTTCCAGGCTGCTGGGCTCCAGGGCAAATGGGGAGCCCAGGAGGGGAAGGACTGATGGACAGGCTCAGGAGGTTCCAGATTCACAGCATCCACACAGATGGAACTTGTGGGGGGTGCCCTTCCCTCCCTGACCCCCTCCGTTTTCTCCCCAGCCTCTTTCTTCGGAGACAGCTTCGTGGAGATGCCGCTGGCGGACGCCTCGCGCACGGTGCGGCTCCACCTGCAGCTGTACACCAGCCAGGGGAGCGGGCTGCTCTTCCTGGCTGCTGGCCAGCCCGACCACCTCCTGCTCCAGCTGCGAGCCGGCACCCTGCAGGTTAGCACCCTGGCATCCCCACGCAGGCTGAGGTCTATGGGTCAGGGCTTCATCCCACGCAAGGATGAAGGGGCAGCACCTGAAAGCAGCAGCCCACGGGGCCAGACACAAGCATGGACAGCCGAGCGGTCAAGACCCCTGCCAGGGGATGTTAAAAGTTTACTAAGAGAGCGATCACAATCTTGGGAGAATCAGTTAAACACAGAGGAACAGGCTCCAGCTGGGAAGCTCCTCACCCACTGCCTAGGGTGATGCTGCGGAGCATGATGGAGACACCCAGACACCAACACCCCACGCACACTGCACAGTCAGGCATGGTGCACAGCACCCTTGGGGTGCAAGGGGTTAGTGAAGAGAAGGGATGAGCCGAGCTGATCCGAAAGGAGAGGTCTCCATCAGCAGACTCCCCCATCCCACCATGGGCCAAGCCCAGCTGGGGCATGGGAAGGGACAGAAGAATGAAATTCCCCTTTGTGGTTGTGGTGTTGGCATCCACCATGAAGGAAAAGAGCAGGGAGCATCCAAGGCACACGTCCTGCCTCTCCTGCAGCCTGGGCTGGGCCATCAACCACATCTAAACCGAAGCAGGAGAGCAAGTGAGCAGCTGGCCAGAGGTCTCCCTAATGCAGACCGTGTGTCTCAGGGTCCACCAGCTAACCCTCTACTTAGGCAGGCTCCAGGCTGCTGCTTGTGGGGAAGCAAAGCCTGCTATTTCCCCTGCCAGTTCCCAGGGCAAAGGCTGGAAGCAGCCCAGGCTGCAGGGATGGAGGGCAGCAGGCAGGCTGGGGCAGGGGAAGAGGAGCCAGCATCTGGCAGGGCTCCTTCATGGGGGGAGAGGGGAAGCCCAACAGTGGGGCAGCAGGACTGGGAGATGGAGGACCCCAGGGAAATAGCCCTGAGACTGGGGTTTGCTGAGAAAGAGTGAAAAAGGAGAGAAATGCAGAGAGCAGGACAGAGAAGGCATGCCCACAGGGGCATCTAGCTGGGGAGGGAGGAACACGCACAGAGGAGGAAGAGGGCAGGACTAATAGTAGTGAACAGAGGGACCAAAACACTTGTGAGCCCCCAGGTATAGTCCATGCTTCAGTAGGTATTTCTGGTAGGTGGAGAGGTGTCTCCTGTGCCACAGATAACACCTTGCTTGAGCTGAGCACTTTCCATGTCCTTCCCTGCAGGCCAGGCTGCAGCTGGGCTCAGAGGAGATGATGCTGCAGTCCCCAGCAGAGCTGCAGCTCAATAACCTGGTGGTGCACGATGTGGAGCTGCTGGTGGAAGACAGCAGGATGACGCTGACCATCGACGGCCTCTTCAACAGCTCTGTGGACATTGCAGGACCCATACGGGAGCTGGACATCCAGTACGGCCTCTATGCTGGCGGGACAGGCAGCCTTTACCTGCCGGACCCTTCCCAGGGCCGGTCCGCCCCCCCCCCCCTGCCGTACCTTGCCGAGGCCAGCTCACCCTTCAGAGGTTGCCTCCACTTAGTGACATTCAACGGCCTGGATGTCCTCTCCCCACTGTCCTCTGATGGCAGCTCCAAGATCTTCCACCAAGTCCAGGAAGGGTGCAGCACACAGTTCTCTGCGGAGCCTGAGGACCCCTTTGGGTTCCTGGGGCCACACTCCTACATTGCGTTTCCCACATGGGATGCGAGGGAGGAAGCAACCATCGAATTTGTGATAACGACGAGCATCACCCAGGCACCCCTCATCTACCATGCAGGGCTGGGGAATGACTTCTTCTACCTGGAGATCTCCAATGGGCGCCTGAGAGGGTTTGTTGAGAAGGGGAACGGCATCATCGTCCTGCACAACAACGTCTTCATCAGCGATGAGCAACAGCACTATGTCAAAGTCTACACGGACATCCACAAGTTTGAGATCCTGATTGATTACTATGCCTCATCCACATCCAACCGGGGCATCAACAACTACCTGGACCTTCAGGGAAACCTATTCATCGGAGGTATGAACGAAAAAGCTTTGCAAAGGCTGAGGGAACACCATCTTGCTTTCATCTCAGTGTGGACCATGACCAACAACTCGTTTGTTGGCTGCTTGGAGGACCTGCGGATAAACCTGCAGAGGAGGAGTCTGCAAGATGCCGTGATCACGAAGGACATCACATCAGGCTGTGGAAAGCAGGAGCACTACTGGGACTATGAAGAGGCATATGAGCAGGACGAAGCACCCACCTCCCCAACTCCAGATGTCTGGTCAGGAGCACCAGGCCTGGTGGTGGAACCGTGCCAGCCAGACAACAGCTTCCCGCCCGCCTTCGCCAACATCAGCAGGCTGCTGCACGTCAGCCCCCTCATTGTCTCTGAAGGGGGCACGGCCTATCTGGAGTGGAAACACGCCCAGCCAACGGTAGACTTGAGCCTTGCAAACATCCGGCAGTCCCAAATCCTCTTTAGCATCACCAACGACCCTAGGCACGGCCAGCTGGAGCTGGACATTCCTGGGTCCAGGAGCAGAAGGAAGTTCACCTTGTTGGACATTGTGAATCGTAAAGTCAGATATGTCCACGATGGCTCTGAGGGGCCCATGGACCAGCTGATGCTGGAGGTGACAGTGACTGCCCAGCAAGGGGTCCCAGAGTGCTTGCGGCAGGGGCAGATGTACCTGTTGCCCATCATGATCAGCCCCATCAATGATGCCCCACAGGTGATCTTTCCCAATGGGAACCACATGACAATCCTAAAGCACACACGGAAACACCTGACCACGGACATCCTGCAGGTTCTAGATGATGACACATCCTGTGATGACCTCGAATTCCAGCTGCATGGTGGCCAGCAGATGGAGGAGGGTTATGTGGAGTATGACTTTCACCCTGGAGTGCCCATCGAAGAGTTCTCCTGCAGGGACCTGGAAGCAGGCAACATAGTCTACGTGCACCAGAGTGGGATAAACTTACAGCTCACCTTGCAGGTGAGCGACGGCACAATCCCAAGCCCCATTGCCACCCTGAGGATCCTCGCCATTGACCCTGACATCCGCCTGCACAACAACACTGGCCTCTCTATCTCCCAAGGAGGGGCTGCACGCATTACTACAGCCAACCTGTCAGTGGAGACAAACGCCGTGAAACAACGGGTCACCATCCTGTATGTCCTCACAGAGCCCCTAAGGTATGGTGAGGTTCAGAAGCAAGGGAGTGTGGGAGGGGAATGGAAAAAAGTCGAGTCCTTCCACCAGCAAGACCTGGAGCAAGGGCGCATCCAGTATTTTAGCACAGACCCAGAGCACCTGCTGGAAGACGTTGTGGAGAAGCTGAGATTCAAAGTCCAGGTGGGGCAGAAGGTCTTGCAGAACAACACCTTTCTCATAAGGATTAAAAGAGCCACCATTAAGATGAGGACCATGGTCCCTCTCCAGATGAAGAACAAGCGACACAGAAATATCACCAGTAAGGAGATGGAGGCAATGTTGGAAGATCCAAACTCTGCCCCAGTCCCCTTCCACTACATGATAATCCAGGCTCCCAAAAAGGGAAACCTGGAGCTGCTCGGCAACAGACTGACTGAAGGCTTTGGATTTACCCAAGCTGACCTGCAAAGAAACCATCTGAGCTACAGCGTGACCATCAGGAACTCTCAGCAAGCTGAGGACACCTTCCAGTTTCGCGTCCACGCTGGCGAGCAGCACTCTCCTGTCTATACCTACACAATCAGCATTGGCGGGGACCCTGATGCACCAGCCCTGACCAACGTCCTCCTGACTGTGCCAGAAGGGGGGCAAGCCATCATCTCCAAGGACCACTTGTTTGTACAGAGCATGAACAGCATGGACTACCTCTACGAAGTGATTGAGGGACCAGCACATGGGAGGCTGGCCTGGGCTGCGTCCCATGGCTGGGCCTCCAGAGAGGAGATCACAGAGTTCACCAATGATGACATCCTCCACCACCGGCTGCTGTACCAGCACGATGACTCCGAGACACTGGAGGATGACATCCCTTTCGTAGCAATCAGGCGGGGCGAGGGCAGCACTGAGCCCGATGCAGAGGAGGTAAGAGGTGTTTTCAGGGTCTCCATCCAACCTGTCAATGACCACACCCCAGTCCAGGTGGTGAACAAGGTCTTCAATGTGGTGCGCAATGGACAGCACCTGCTGACAACAGATGACATTGCCTTCACCGACAAGGACTCTGGCTTCTCCGACACACAGCTAGTGCTGGCAAGGAAGGACATTTTGTTTGGCAGCATCGTGTCCGTTGACGACAGAAAACACCAGGTCTATCGGTTCACACAGGATGACTTGAGGAAGAAGAAGATCCTCTTTGTCCATTCGGGGGCTGACCGGGGCTGGATCCAGCTACAGGTCTCAGATGGCCTCCACCAAACCACGGCCCTCCTGGAAGTACAGGCATCAGACCCCTACATCAAAATAGTCAACAACACTGGTCTAGTCATCCACCAAGGCAGCCGAGGAAGCATTGACTCTTCTGTTCTCAACCTGGAGACCAACATGGACATCAGGTCAGATGAAGAGATATGGTTCCTGATAACGACCCCCCCAAGGTGGGGGACTGTGCTGAGAGGGGAGCAGCCAGTCATGGCCTTCTCCCAGAGGGACCTGCTAGCAGGAGACATTTCCTACCACCACAATGGGAGCAGGAACACCCGGGATGAGCTCCAGTTCACTGTAGAAGCAAATGAGGTGGCAGTGGAGGACACGCTGGCCATCAGCGTGTTCTTGGGCACCCATCCCAGCCCCCTGCACATAGTCAACCACAAGGAGATCCACATCTTCCAGGGGGAAGTAGCTGGGATCAAGGAGGAGTACTTACTGGTGAGTATCCCCTTCTCTAGTCATTCCCCAAGCCCGCTTCACTTCCCTGGCCACCAAACCAGGACAGCCACTGGCGGGGCTCCATTTTACTCCCACCTGCCCAGAGCAAAGGACGCGTGCCGGTGTCAGGCTTTGCCCAGGGGCAGAGGGGGGCATTCAGGCATGGCCTCAGCAAGAAGGCGACTCTTGCAGCTCATTCTACAGTAAAGCCTTGGGGGATTGCACAGCGGTGGGCTGTGGAGCAGCCCAGCCTCACAGGCACCAGCCCCCCACTCATGCCTTGTCTCTCCCACACTCCCAGGTAACCCACGAAGAGATCCCTCCCCAAGACATAGTCTACCTGGTGAGCAGCCCCCCAGCCTCCGGCTTCCTGGCAATGCTTCAGCATGGCCAAGACTCGAATGAGCAGCCCAGCCTGGACCCCATCCAGTCCTTCACCCAGGAGGACATCAACAACGGCAGAGTCCTCTACCTCCACTCCAAGCCGGAGGAGGAGCGTGACCGGTTTGTTGTGGACATCACGGCCAGCGGTGCAGACCCACTGGAGGAGGTGGTGGTGAGCCTCATCGTGCTCCCCATCGCCGTGCCCCTGAACGTCCGCAACGTCACGGTGCCAGGAGGTGGCTCCATCACCCTCTCCACAGGCATTCTCAATGTCCCCAACGCATACTTCACAGCTCTCGGCATGGAGTTCAAGGTGCTCGAGCCCCCCCGGTTTGGCACCCTCCTGAACAGCAAGCGGCCTGAGGACGGCGGGCTGCGCAGCTTCACCTGGAGCGAGGTAGAGCAGCCATAGGTGCCCGCTTGCCCACCATGCTGCCTTCCCAGGGGGTTTGGGAAGAGCCCTGGGGCGGGCTCCAGGCCCTAACAGCAGTGGGAGGCTGGGGAGGACTGTGGGCCTCATCTCCCCATCAGAGATATTTGCCCTTGGGATGGAGGAGTTTGGGGTGGTGGGTTTGCCCTGTGGGCAGGGAATGCATCAACCCCCAAGGTGTGTTTAAATGTCCCTGGGGATACAAGGTGGGAATGCAGGCAGAGCACCCACTCTAGGGTCCAGGTCTGTTTCCCATGGGGATCCTCCTCCCTGTATTTGTGCTGGATCCATCCTGCAGGGATGCCCCAGAGCAAGTAGTAGGTGCCCAGCTCCCTCCCTCCTCCCAGGCTGGTGCACAGGTCCCCTCCCCAGCGGGGCCAGTGGCCACTCTCCTCCCAGGAGGGTCACCGGCCCCTGCCCTGCAGGTGGAGAACCAGCAGATCCAGTACAGGCAGGACGGCCCCCGGGCCCAGGCCGACAGCTTCACCCTCCTGGCCAACGCCTCCGCGATGGACCGGCAGAGCCAGCCCAGGACCCTCTTCATCACCATCCTGCCCCGCAGCTCCAAGGGGCCCCGGCTGAGGGTCAACGCCGGCCTGCAGGTAAGGGCGGGATGCCACGGGGATGGGCGGCCACCCCAGCGGGCCCTGGGTGCTCAGCGTAGGCCACCCCAGGGCTGGCCAGCCCAGCGTGGGGACAACGCGGGACCCACTCCGAGCCTGGTCTCGCCCCGCCGGGAACGTGGGCACGGCAGCGCCGGGGTG